CACCTCCCACAGCCACTAATTTCCGGACGGGTAACCACCCGACTTCTTAATGGCAAAAATCTTGCCACACACATGCACGTGTTGCCAATCTACCTTTCCAACTGTAGTAACCACTATAGCAACCCCTACAATAGCTGATGGCCATAGTTTCCGGGCTTAAGACCAATAAAAAATAAATAGGTACGTATAAATGGATAAAACGAAGCGATGATAATGCAGTCATACTTAATATTCACACGTTACACGACTATATCAATATTTTACTTGGACTTTCAATATTTGTACAATATATATTATAAATATGTATACTAGATACCCAAAGGTAGGCATTAACTAGTTAAAAACTTAAAGTCAAGTTAAAAAATTAATTTTTTTTTAAATTTTTCAATTTAACTACTATACTTAGCTATTTTCTAATCAACTTATGAACTCAACTAGTTTGATTGATAGTTGAAATAACTTTGCATTTTTCAGTTTATTTAAAAATAATCCAACAAGTTAAAAACATTTTGAAATTGTTCGCGCATACACAAATATTAATATAAAATAAATATAATCCAATAATAACACAAATATTTCTATTTTTTTACTTAATGAAATATTGTTGTATATTATTAATATGTTATTAAATTAGATAGACACAATAACCCTTTGTGCGAATTGCATACTAATTGTGAAAAATTGATTAACTTTTTTTAAACTGAGTTAAGTTAAAAAAATTTTGATTTTTTCTAGTTTATCTTTTAGATTTTGAGTTAAATTTATAATTTGTTAAATATGACCTCTTAAAATAACTTAACCTAAGCTAACCTACCTAGGTAATATAAGTATTACCTATACACATAATTATACGTGAATGCAATGGGTGGTAACTGTTTTGAGCAATACTGTCGCGTCTTGCATGAAATCGTCACTATTTTTCTATTGGTACAAGAAAATATCTTTGAATAAAATTATGAGTGACTGATATTATGGTTTCTACCTTATTAACGATCCACTTGGGAAACGCATTTCGTTCGATGACATTTTGAGGGGCTCGTTAATAACTCGCTTTGCCGAAATTTTATCTCACAGCACACTGCAAAATATATAACTCGCAGACAGCGATTTATTTGATCGAAAATTCCAAAAATTTAATCAGATAGTGGTGAGTGACAGACACGTATAGGAAACGGACGGAGATGATAGTAGGTAATTTGTCGTATGGCAGTAAAAAATATCGTGACCCCCTGCAAGAGTACATCAGATAATACAATTATTATATGAACGCCGATGAACTTCTCAACCAATCTATTACCGTGGTTTTAGGCAAACGGAAAACCGTGGGCTTATACTGTTTATAAAACTTCATTGTTATCTAATATGTGAACTGATAAGTTCCAAAAGTTGACATATTTTGGTGAGGTTCCAAATCCACCTAACTTCTATTCGTAACCCAACCAGTTCGGCCCAATTAAGGCAAACACGGCCAAGTTAACTACCATCAATTAAATTTTAAGGTGAGTATAAGGTTTGTAACCAAAATTAATTAGTCTAAAAATATACTTGTATATTATAGTTTATATACATTGGAAATAAATCACAGCGCGCATAATTGCGATGTGCAATATAATATACATATCAAACAAAATGATCGGATAACAGACACTGACCTTTAAAATGGAAAAAGAACGTCGAGTTCCGAAGCCGTTCCAAGATCGGTTCCACGGCGCCGAACGTGAGCGTTTGCAGGTTGTTGTATCTGATGTCGATGAACTTCAGCTTTTCAAGATCATGGAACGTGCGGTCGTCAATAGCGGTCAATCGGTTTTCTGCCAAGATCAGCCGCTGGAGGTTAGGAAGTCCGGAAAATCCCCTGCCGTCGATCTTCTTTATGAGATTGTCCTCCAGAACGAGCTCCTCGAGGCACACCAGTTCTGCGAATGCGTCTGGGCCCACCCGGTCCAAGTGGTTCGCCCGCATGTCCAGCCGCTTTACCGACACCAAGCCGAGGAACACGTACCTGGACAGCGATCCGGTCAACCTGTTGTCGGAAAGGTCGAGCTCTTCGAGCTTTCGCAGCTGCTCGAACGCCCCCTCGGCAATGAAGCTGATGTTGTTCCGGTCCATGTACAGCTTCCGGAGCGCGGGTAGCCGGGCGAATACGTCGTTGCTGATGCTCTCGATAGCGTTGTCGCCGAGCGTGACCACGCGCAGATCCTCCATGTACGCGATCGAGTTCCGGGCCAGCTGCACGATGTTGTTCCGGACCAGCGCCAGGTCCTGCAACCGGGACAGGTTGGCGAACGCGTGCGAGTGCACTGTCCCGATGTTTGCGTACACGATCTCCAGCGTCCGGAGCTCGGGCATCCGGGCCAACGCCTCGGTGGGCACGAACGACAGCGTCTTGGACGAGGTTCCGCGCACGTTGAATGTCAGCTTGGTCACGTTCGACTGCGACCCGAACTCGCGCCATACAGCCGAGTCGCTGGGCTCGCCGTTGTTGAACACCCAACAGTCGGCCGACGTGGCCGCGTGCGATTTCGGGTCGTCGCAATAACAGTACAAGTTGATAGTAGTTTTCTGTTCGAGCGCGCAAACGTTTATTTCGGAGATGTCACCGCTGCCGCCGTTCTTGTCATCGTCGGGGTAGCTCCGCACTCCCGGCCTCTGGTTTTTCACTCTCCGGTTCGACACGTAACCATGGTTATCGTACACCAGAACCGCGAATACCAACCACAGGACCACGAACTGTTGTTGACGCTCCATCTCGAAAATCTGTGGTAAAAGAAAAATCGTAAGTTTCGTATAACAATAGCTCATATATTATTAATGTTTTCCATCCACTGCTGCAGCTACAGCAGTAACAACAAAAATAACGTATTGGTGGTATATGTGCGAGAACAACTTTATATTAAAATAGTATTGTACCAGTCTGTCGATCGACCGGACGACGCATTTCCGTGAACCATTGCAGCTATTCGATACACGTGATGTACGGAAAAATAGTTTTCCGATGACATAATACACTCGCCACGATGGCTTTTAAACGGTTTATGCGGTATAACTCTTATTATAATACTCTTATATATAATTTTCTTTAAGTGGCTGTAGTCACGACACGATATTTGTTTTACCTAAATATTAGTATAAATGCGAATTATAATATACTAGCGCAGAGGTACCTGCTCCCGACGACGTWTAAATAGGGTTTCCTGTCGTGTCAACCGACTCACGACGAATAATTCACAAACAACGGCGATGACATAATAATGAAATATTTATACATAATACGCGTTTCTTATAATTTAACCGACGAATCGATASACTATTACCTTGCGAACGGCATATTTTATATATTATATTGGCTTTCGTTTTGTCAGTGTGTGTTTTTCGTGCCTCCGTGACGTGTCAGAAAACTACCTTATATATATATAACCCACTGTGCATACCCTCGCGGGTGGGGTGAATGCGTTATATATATATACAATATACATTTTATATGGATTATGGGTAGCCTTTTTTTCTCCTTTTTATGCGCTTCCACTCACGCCCCTTCCACCCTACCAACCTCACCTATTTACAATTGACCGCAGGCCCTCCTCATACAAAAGGAACTGTTGGCCATTCCGTGAGCAGTTCACTGTTCATATCGTGTGTATGTGTGTGTGCGTGTATGGCGCGTGTATACACGTGCTCATTCAATATTGAAATGTCCATTGTGTTTTACGTGCTCCCCACGCGGTTTGTATACGTACACTGTTTGTTTTAATATTGCAAGCGTTTTGCCTTTGGCAGGAATAAAAAACGAAATTCACCGAGTTTGCATGGGTGAAACTCACGAGTCGGCCATAATTCATGCGCGTGTAAACGTCTCGGGATTCGCGTCAGATATATGTCGAAATAGCTATAGCTAACGAGCGTATACACCAGCTATTAGGCACCTACGTGGTGAGACTACTGCAGAGCGCGTTATATTTGTTTTGACTTTTTTGAAAATTCGCTCTCCCCCTACTACCACCGACGATGCCGAATTACATTATATATTACACGATTGGAAAAATCTTAATTAGATGGGCGTCACCGGCACAAGTGTTCTCTGCGAGTCCCCCCCGAGTGGGCGTGGTTGTCATCGTGTTGTAACCCGAGGGTTCATTACTGCAGCAGTATACGGTGCCGGTGGTGAGCAGGGGAGAACGGTAATTGAAAAATGATTCAATTATCATTTAGCTAGACACCGTGGCTACACAGACTTCCCACACGGCGATTCCACTATGGCGTTTCCACGAAATCACCGCGTAAAATGTCAAATCGCTCCACCAACAGAACAGAACATGAATGTTTATCATAATATAATAAATTATAAATGGCCTGTACCAACGTCGAAAAGCTAGCATATAATACGATTAAATCGTGTATTTTTTTTTACAGTGTCAAGCACTTAGTGTCGTACCTGTGAAACATTTTTTTTTTTTTTTGGGGGGGGGGGCATAAATTAATTGCACTATTTTTTATGGTTATAATTTATAACTTATAAATTATAATATAATCTAAAACTGTATTATAAATTATTGTTAAATACTTAAAACATAAATCATATACTACATAGAAAAGTGATATCAAAAACTTTTGATATAAAACACGATTATAATCAGTGAAAATTAAAAATATTTATTATTTAAATTATTTAAAAAATTCCCCTGTTGCCCCCCCCCCACAGGTATGTCACTACAAGCACTGTAGGGTCACGGGGGGGGGGGTTGGATTTCATTTACTTTTAGTAATATATATTTATGAAAATATTAATAATATTAATAAATAATAATTAGTGGAGTACGCATTTTTTATTTGCACATACTCCAGCTAGAACTTTTTAATTTTTTCTTGCAATCCAAGCACTGATTACGCAATATTTTCATTTTTATTGTCCAAATAACTTCAGAACAACAAATTATAGATACACGCGTTTATAATATTTAAATTTGACGGTATGGCCACAATAATTTTCAGGTTGGTATTTTCATGTAAAATCCTAGTCGAACGGAAGCTGCAGCTATTATGATATTATAGTGCGAGCAAGATAGTTTGAAACCACGGCCGCGGCGGTATAGAATACGTATCATGTAGGTATACAGTACATTTTATGGCAATATTTTAACCAATAAACTACGCGCTGTATCGTTGAGACATAATACCGTTATTACGAGTTTGAATAATTATTTATAGTGCGGTAGACTCTGTACGAGCTTTAACAAGATATCATATTATTGTAACAAGAATATTTTTCTCCTATAAAATTATAAGACAAAATAACACTAAACATTATGATCTACGCATAATAGATTAATAGATAGTACTTATCAAACATAATTGGAAGATCACAAAATTGCATGTGTTCGTTATGGTATAATATCATTATATAGAAATTGTCGATGTACGGATCCGTTTAAATCACTGATTGGACGAATTGAAATGAATTGCATACAAAAGATTACGCAAATAAAGTAAAACGAGAACAATTCGTTTTTTTTAGAAAGTCGATTATTTGCTCTCTATTCAGTTATAATGTGGCTGTCCAAACTTTTATTGTACCGAAGACACTTATTTTCCATGACCGAGATTTACGGAACATAAATAAAATAACTTTGTTTGATTATAAAACACTCGATATACACTGTATATGGTATGCAGTCAAAACTATCTGATGAACACACAGTAATATTATTATATTTGTGCGTTAAACCAAAAATCCCAAAACAAACGAAACTATTTACAATGTTTTATAGAACAATAGTTTTAAAAAAATTTGTTTTTTTTCATCACCCTATTTTATAAGCTATATTATACGGCCTATTACAAATGCATTTAATTGTGCTTGATGAGTTTGAAAAGTGATATGAATTATATAATTTGACTAAAAAGTGTGATATTCTGATAATTATACCTCACGTAATAATAGAAATATCCAATGTTTCATATGCTCTTATATCCTAAAAGTAATAGAAAATAATATTATATGCAAAAATTTCACAGACGTAATTTAATTTTTCGCAATTAATATATGAATATATCATCATAATTTTAGTTTATTAAAATACATTTTAGTTAAATAATTTATAAAATAAAAGTTTGTATTACTTATACACTATACCAGAAGTTATATTATTTATAATTATATAGCTATATAACATTATGTAGATAAAATTAATAGAATCTATACGTAAAAAGTTGTTGATTCAATATCACACATCACAAATTTCAATAAAATATTTTAAACATTAAATTTAAAATACACTGAAAACTTAAAGCAAGAAGAAAATATTTCTGTCTTTAAAATTATATTGCTCTGAGTAAAACTAGGGACTTTATACCCTAAATATTATAAAATAAGCGTGCATTTAACCCTTACAAAATTCAAAAATGCTTAAATATATTAATTTAAAAAGTTAAAACAATACATTTAAATTTACATATCTGAATACAGAAGGTATATACAGATTTCTGAAATACGTGAAGCGAAAATTTTGAAAACACAATGGCCAACTATGAGTCAAGTACTTAGTTTTATATCCGATTTGAAAAAAAATGTATATAATATATTTAAATATTATACAGAAATTACAATAAGAATCAAAAAAATTAATTGTAAACAAATGTAAATGGATCTATTTATTTAAATACTACAATATTACAACATGTATTATAATTAATAATGCACTGATTATAATTATTTTTACGACTTATGAATTGCTTTTTCTTTGTAATAGGTATTTAATAAAAATCGAGTTATATTAGTTAATAATAAATAATAATAATAACAATATTAATCGAGGTGATTCAAACACTGAGATAAGAAAAGAATTTTGAATGGTTGTTATTTATTATAAAATCTATTTTGAATATGAATGAGGAGGTACGTTGACATGATTTGTAAATTGCTCGTATATTACAACAGGTAGACGTTAAATAATTAAGTTACGTAGAAATCCATTATTTTATACCTTATAATAGTAAAATACAGTCATACAAGTGGTTTAGAAAAATGTGCACACTATGATCATTTATTATAAAAAAATTTGATTCATTTTTATTATGCATAACTATTTCAAATTAACTTAGTACCTATTAATCTAGGCTGTTGCCTAATACGAGATAATAATTTGAATAGGTAATATTATAACGCACTAACAAAAATATTGCTAGATCAATTGTTTAAACTTCTAACTACTTAACATTCTTTTAAAAGTATTTAATATATATTGTTACCTATAATTGATAAAGAATACTTTTTAACAAACTATTTTTTATTTCTGAATTCAGACACATAAAACCAATCTGAATTTTAAAATATACTCTAAATTCTTTGAATGTAATTTGTTTTACTATTTATAATCAATATAACAAGCAATAGTTTGCTTATAATTAAAAGTACTTACGTTAATTCTTACAATTGCAGTTACTAAACGATTTTAAACTATTTTATTTTAGGTCAATGAGTCAGTTGTCTCGAATACTATAGAATAAAATGTTGAAAACGTTTAGTTCCCAGCTTATTTAATTAATAGTTCTGTTTATCTCACTATATAGATCATAATGTTCTAATCCCAAGTTGTATAGTGTCTATTAACAGAGGTCAATAATATAGTTATTGAACGATCATTTATATCAATATTGTAATACATAAAATCAATAAAAGATCTTATATAAGAAAAAAAAATTGAACTTGTCATCAGATTATGGGGGGCGTAGGTGGTATTTCATACGCATGTAAA